GGTGAATTAGGAAAGCCAAAAGCATAGAAAACTGCCTGCCTCTGTGGATGTGAGGATTTCTGTACCTCTTCTAGATCTTTCTCTTAGCACGTATTTGTCTCGCTGTCCCGGTTCCGCTGCGTTCTCACACACAGAGTTATGCAACTTTGAGCTTTCCAACTTCTCTGCCACCTTCAGAGGACTTTGAACCGCCCCCTTCTAGGCATTGCCAGAGGACTTAGGCACTCCAAAGTCCTTTTCATGGCTGTATGTGAAGACACTTTATCTTCCTTTTGTTGTTGTTTAATCTGCTGTTTCAGTAATTCACACAGATCCTTTATCTGCTCTTCTGCGAAGAGGTGGTAGATGAAAGCAATTTTTCTACAGCCTCCAACTCCACTCACCCTATTATCTCTTTGAGACCCTAAGGATTTTTTACTTAATTCTCTTTTCATGTGTCATGATCATTATCTTGACTTCAGGCCATTAATTACTACCATACATCTTTATTGAATGTTATCATCTGAAAGGAAATAGATAAAACCATTGTGGGCCTGCTCACAAATGTTAAATGTAGTTAAATGTAATCTTACCATTTGATTTCCAGTGGATTTAGATGACCATTAGGTGATCATTTCCCTTCAAAATACCATTCCCACTACAAAACTGTAGCTAGGCTTCCCGGGAAAGTTATTATGTTATTTTCTGGATCGATCTTGAAGTTCTCTGTTCAAGTAAATCCCTGGAGGCTGGATAACTAAAGGAGCTTTGGATTAGCTGTCTGAAACTAAGGGCATTAAATCAATTGCTATGAGAATGTATTTAGGTTGAGCATTAATAATCTGGGAGGCTGGATGGCATAATGATGGAGCACTGGGATTTGGGAGATCTGGACTGTGATCTTGGCTCAGCCTGTAACTTGCTTGGTGACCGCAGGAAAGTCACTTTACTTACTTTTACCTTATTAAAAAGTTCCCTGTGGAAAGTCCCTTGAACTCTTCTGATGTCAAGTGTTGTGCCACAGCTGTATATATTGTAGGTGAAATCTGTTAAATGCCAAGCAGAATGAAAGTGGTGAGTGCCTGTGGTTAAAGAGCTTTTCACGGACAGTTCTCGAGCCTCCTGCCAAATCTGTATTTCTGTAACAATCTTGTACAAGAAGTGGAAGGAATAGGAAGATGCCCAGGGAGTTTTTTGTGTCTTACAATTAGGCCTTTATAGTGATAAGACTGGTTTAATGATGATATACTGTACAGTGTGAGATAAAAGCAGGAGGAAGTGGGATTCTGCAGGAGTTATCCTGGTTATTGCAGTTGTCAGCCTTTTCATTAGGACACAAAATAAGACGCACCAGGAAGGAACAGAGAGAGTGTCAATGATGATGGAGAGTGCTGGGCTACTGTTTTAGACAGCAATTTTCCTGATAGGTACCACTGAGAAAGCTAACATACCTCATACCCCTTTTTTCCCTATGGACCAGAGTTCAGCTCCCAGTAGGAAGATCAGCTGCACATTGCAGTGGCAAAGAAACAGGATTTGGGGCTACAGCAGGAGAAGAAATCATCAGAGGGAACTGAGCAAGGTTCCACTTGTGAGATTAGGTGCACTTGGTCTCTCCCAGTGAGCTAAGAATAAGTTGAATCAAATGGAGAAATCAAGGGTTATCTTTGAGAAAGCGTGGAGTATTTATGAATCCCAGATCCTGAAAAAGGGCAAATGCAGTCCTCATCTTTAAAAAGAGGGAAAAGGAGGAATGAAAGACCAGCTGAACTTGTACACCCATGACCAGCTGTTCCAGTTCAGAATAAGCTGGGTGGTGGATCTGCAAGGGAAGATCTGGGCTCTTACTGAGCATCAGTAGTGGAAAAAAACACTGTCAAGGTGTTGTGCAAAACACAAGCACCCACTGGGTGCACAGGATCAGACACTGGTCTCATCTCTCCAGTGATCAGTGACAGGACTTGCTGATTTTTGTGGGTCCCTTCCACAAAATATATAAAAAATAATAAAAAATAATATTCTGTGTGAAATATTCTGTGTGAATGGGAGAAAGTTGTGGCAGGGGAGGTTTAGGTTGGATATTAGAAAAAGGTTTTTCACCCAGAGGGTGGTTGGGCACTGAACAGGCTCCCCAGGGCAGTGGTCACAGCACCAAGGCTGACAGAGTCTAAGGAGCATTTGGACAGTGCTCTCAGGCACAGGGTGGTATTCTTGGGGTGCCCTGTGCAGGGCCAGGAGTTGAACTCGATGATCCTTGTGGATCTCTCCTAGCTCTGGGCATTCTATGGTTCTATAAGAAGAGACATGCCCTGCAGGGTAAGTGAAGGCACCTTGGTGATGTCCAACACTACATTTATGGAGGATAACACCGGAGACCAGCAGTGTGAGGTAATGAGCATGACAGCTTGTGAAGATTTAATGAACTGGTGTTATTTCTTCTGAAAGGAAAGAAGACACAGGGTGCTACACGATAATTGCCTTCAAACTCGCAATTCTGAGACTGCTGGAGAGATAGGGAACGATTTTTCTCCATGTCCAAGTGAATGGGACATGAAGCAATGAGCTAAACCTGAAGCAACTGATTTAGATTAGATATTAAGAACAAGTTTCCAACGGCACAGGTAGTTCAGTGTGAGAACAGAGTCTGTGCTCTCCCAGCCAATCTCTATAACTGGAGATTTTTAAGAACAGGTTAACCCAATGTCTGAGTGTTCACTGGATGGTTGGCTCAGCCCCACTGCCCACACTCCTACTTCTCTTTGGGCAGAGTGGACCAGGAGTCAGAACAACCACCTGGGATGTGGCATTTTGGGCTCTTGTTTCAGTAACTTTTATTTTATGTTATTTTTTTTTTTGTCTGGTACATGTTCTGCCTTCTACTTCTCTCGCTCTCTCAGTGTAATTTATATACAGTTAGTCTGTGATAGTTTCATTAGAAGGGGAATGTAAATTAAATGTGCGAGAAAAATATATTAATGTTTGTAAAATACTTTATGAGCCCCCACTGAAAGGCAGTATATAAGCACAAGCATTATTATGGGAAATCAATGAATAAAGTAATAAACTAAATTGAATAAAAAATGAAACAAAACCCAAAAAAGTGCAACACTCTGCACATAAACTCCATAAAATATATATTAACCTTAAATAATAACAGTCCATTTTCAGGAGTTGCTGGTTTTGGTAGTGGGTTTTTTTTTAAATTAATTAAGTCTTTTTTCATTTACCAAAGTTCAAACAATTAATCACAGACCTATGTAATCAAAAGTAGAGTTTACTTCTTATTACCTATTCACAGTGCAATCCCAGCATTTGAGATGATTACACACTATATATAAACACACCTACCGTGTAATCACTTTAAGTGCTCCGAGCAGTGTATAGGTAGTTCCAAATGAACACCATATGTGCAGCACAAAGCATTAATAGCATTCCAGGGAATGTCACATCCATGAGAAACTCTAATCTGCTCCTGAAATGAATTTGACTTATTCATTAGTGAGATGAAGAGAGCTGATTACGGTGAGCTGTTTTCTTTTACATCAAATAAGCAGATAATCTTACCCTCAAGATTTGGGGTTTCTTTCCTTGTAGAAAAAAAAATTTTTTTAAAGAAGAGGGTGTTTTTAAAGCAGCTGCAACTGGTGAATCACACTTGAAACATACAGCACTATTTTTGTTGGGTTTATTTCATCCATTCATTTTAAAATGACCTTTTCTGCTTCACAGCAAATGAATAGGGATTTCCTGTTTGCTCAAGGGAAGTTGTTTCTCTGGTACGTGTACAGCATTCTTTGGACACTTAAGGAAGCTATAAAGATGAAGAAGAGTTTAACTGAAGATTTTTTTTTTAGTTGGAATATTAATGAATAGTTCAGGCAACAGGGTTTGAAGGGAAACGTAGAGGATCATAGCTTAATATGAGGAAATTAATCAGAAAAAAGGCAGCCCGACAGTCAACATTTGCTTGTTCATTAATGTTTACAGGGTATATAAAAATACATAATAATGCAAATAAAAATGCTGTGAACAGCCTGTTCTTTCCCTTTCATAGCCAGGTTATTCAAATTTGCATTTTGTCTAATGCTAATCTCAGCTGTAGCTGGAAACAGCTCCAGATGCAGCAGCAACTTAAGAAGGACATCAGGAGGGGGTCATTGAGGTAGTTTATGAAATGAATTAATGAGAGGTAATAGTGTGTTCCACATTTACAAGTCCTTTCATCTGAGGCTCTTGGAGTAATTAATAAACATTGCTGCACTGCTGCAGCAGAAGAAACAGTTGCTGCATAAAATTCTCAGGGGTGTATAAATTCTTCTGACTTACAGTGTAGTGACTAGGCATCCATAGCCCAAGTCACCTTAGAAAAGAAGACTTCCATACCTGAATTTTGATGGATTTATAAGTATTTAGATGCTTTCATTGCCTCCCAATTTTCTTTATTAAAGAAGATACAAGCACAGAGAGCTGGGTTCTGTTCTCTCACCCAGCTGGGAGCTGTTGGCACCAGCGAAGCTCAAATCCATGGTGTGCTGAATGCCTTCATGAAATAATGAGTAGAAAATGGAGACACCGTGTACCTGCAGCATCTGACGGGGTTTATATGGTCAGAATTAAGCCAAGAAATAGGACATATGGGAAGCCATGTAATTGTGACAGAGAATCAAGGCTATAACCCTGCCTGTGCTTTTACCACAAAACTACCTTCCTGCAGTCACAGATGATTAAAATCCAGAGCAGGGCTTGGAGGAAGAACAAAAAACAATTAGCTTTTAAGGATAGGTGCAGAAACCAAATAAAATGTTTGGGATATCTCGGCTTTTTCATGCAAGGAAACAACATTCCTTGGAACACCTGACTGTGTGAAAAGCCAAAAATATTAAAGCAAAGTAACGGGTTTTCTCAAGAAATAACACTGTTTGCGATGGCATTTTAAAAGGAAGTGGGAAAAAGGAGAAAAAGCCAGAATTATTTACTCTGTTTTCTAACCTTAGCTGCAAAATAAACAAACTACAAAACATCAGAGAAATTGCATTATTTGCAGAGGCTCTGACAATTCTTTTGTTTTTTTACTTCTCAGATACTTCCTGGAGAACTGTCAGAATTGTCACGTGCTGGTATTTTGCCCTCTGGCACGGGAAGAAACAGGTCAGTTGTATGTGTTCATCAAAGAAAGTTGAACGATTTTCTTTTAAATGAGAACTCACCCATAAGCCCCAGTGGCTGTGGCCCAAAACAAAGGCAGTGCCCCCAGGAGGTGCCAGGGAAGGGAGCCTGGAAAGAAGAGAGGGCTGCTGATATTTGGGGAAGGGAAAAAGAAGTGAGGCAGACATGGGGCGCGGTTGTTGTACATACAGCAAGTGTGTGGGAGCACTGACCAGACTCAGACTGGTTACAGAGCTGTCAGGATGGGATTCAAGAGCAAATGGGAGCGAGGCAGAAGCAGCAGCCACTTCACGACACAGACTCTGCAGCCCTTAATATTGTTTTACTGGTGAACTCTCCAAATTTAGGCCTGGATCTCACTGACTTTTGTATCTCAGTGGTTAGGACTCCATATATGTTTTAGGACAGTAGCACTGACAGGTAGCTGGCACACAAAACAAAGGGTGGGGATGTTTTCCCATCTTAGATCCAAGCTGTCATTTCATCATGAGTCCTAAAGCAACAGCTGATACAACTCTCACCCGAGGGTGGGTTTCTTCAACAAACCTGCCACTTCAGGGAAGAAAAGAATTGTCTCCTGAGTGAAGCAGAACGGTGATCAAGGGGCTGTGTCCTGAGACTGTGCAGAACTTGGTCTGGATCACCACTTTTTTGGGTAAAATTTATAAAAAGTATCACAGTCTCTCAAGGAATGCAGTGAATTGTGGGAGCACTGGTGTTTTCTCAGCTGATGGAATCAGGCAGAGGGGGTCTGTGCTGTCTCTGGAAGCTTCCAAATGCCTGGGTTACTTTAGGTGAAATATAGGAAGACGTCTTGGCAGTACTTGGTGTTGGGCACTGATGCAGAGTACAACTTATCAGAACTGATGGTTTTATGGTTTCAAATAGTTCACTGGGATGCAATTTGGCTGGTTCAACAGATCCTGGCTCAGAACTTCACTGTGTTACATCATGTTTGTACCAGTTCCTACTCCTTGGCATTCAGCTGTAGTTTCTGCCCTCTATCCAGTAAAGGATAGCAGAGACTGTGAAGATTTAAGTGGTAATGAATCAGCATCACTGTCTGGAAGCCTGAAAGTTGATGACTACTGCCTCGAATGGGATAGTCTCTTCAAGAGAGTGACCGGTTGTCAGACATCTTCACATTTATGTAGAAGGCAAGATCTGGGCTGTCATTTGTCCTTTAGGTAGAGCAAAGATGATCCATGCACTGCTCAAGAAGAACTGAGGGGTGAGGGGTTTGGTTTGTCTGGTTGTGAGTCTGAATACCTGATTCTGACATAGGTGTTGGTGCATTTCTTTATGATCCCTTGTGATAATCTGTAAATGAGCATAAAATCATCTTGATCTGTTTTAAATTGTCAAGTAAGGGAATTGGAATTAAGTCTCTTAGCTAACACCTCTTCTGGACGTGGTTTATGCAGAGAACACAGCTAAAAGTGATTGAATACAACAGCATTAATTTATTCACCTGATCAGAGACCCTCAATTAATTTTCAGTCAGTGTCAGTGAAAAACGGGGAAATCTCTGTGATTTCCTAAATTAAGATGCTATTTTCCTGCATGTTCCTTTAGACTGAATAATGTTAAAGCTTAAAAACCTCCCAGGAATCTGTGCTTAGTATGTTGAAGTCAACTGCACAATCATCCTTCTGAGGAAAGGCAGTTTTACAGGCAAACCAGAAAAGTTTTTACGAAGTAACAAGCTTCCCTTTCAATACACTCTACCTAATGCTGGCTTTAATTCCCAACAGACTGGAAAAGAGGTTGTTCTTATTTGATAATATTTAGATTAGACTTTCAGTGAATCATAGTAATATAGCACAATCTTTTTTTTTTTTTTAATTCCTTTATAATTCCCAATTACTTTTTAACATTGACAGAGCTCCATCTAATCTGAATTCCTCCAGGATACACAAGTCTTCTCTCAGGACTGTGTTTCTAGCCCTCATCCAGATGCAACGCCCTTTCTGCTCTCCTGGTGCTGTTTTCCCAGTCAAAGTGGAGCAGAGAGCAGAACAGCCAGGCTTCCTCTTGCTGCAAGGCAGAACTGACCAGTGAAGTACCATCTGTGGGCTGCAGGGAAAGAGCAGGCTTTACCTGGAAGCTCGATCTTCAGGCTCTTCCCCACCACTACGACTGGAGAGCTGTCATTAGTGTGGCACTGCCTAGTGTACATCTCAAAGATGATCGTAAACCAATATTCCTTTTTTTATTTGTTTTTTGAGGTGAGATCCACTCCAAGGCAATAAACTCCCTCTGTTCTCTCACTTCTATGCGCCTGCCAGTAGATGGTGGTAGCAGCTGCTCTATTGGCGACGGGGCCATATGGTGCTGACGTTTGAGAAAAGCAGTGTTTTATGACAGCGGCAAGAATTACTTCTCTTTGTGAATCTATACCCAGTCAAGGAATGTGCGCTGGGCCTCGCTGAAGTGCTGTCACTTCCATTTAAGCTGAAGGTCCTCTGCAGCAGCAGCAGCTCCACGGAGGGGCTCACCCCGTCAGCAGCCATCGCACCCCGGCGTGAGATCAGCAGGGAAGCTGCTGAAACAAAAGCTACTTGTTAAATACAGCGAGGGGCAGCTTGGCGTCAGATGTTCCAAAAACAAGGCTTGGGGGTGCAGGGAAGAGGTGTGAACCCTGATGAGGAGTGACTGCTGCCCGGGTGCTCTGCAAACCGGGACTTTGGATACGGGGCTCGGCAGCTGCCACGCTGCTCCTGGGCTGTGGTGGAGCGTGAGGATGATGCACCTCAATCAAAGCTACAGGGCAGCAGCCTGCTGATTGTCAAGCTGCCTGTTAATAGGTGGTACGTTTGGGAAGCCTAAAATCGCTCCCATAAATCACTGAACTCAAAACTGGCTGAGACAGGACCGTCCCGGGATGCGCTGGGACGGTGCTCAGACAGGTCCTAACAGCAAAGTCTCCTCAGCTGTGAGGTCCTAAACCAAACAAAGGATCCAAAGCCCACAGCCTCTCTGTCACCAAAATCACAGAGCCACGTTATTCCACTGGCTGGGTGGGGGTTGAAGAAGGTGTAACACCGTGCCTGCCTGAGGCACCGACAGGTCTGGTCTGAGGGATGGGCACCCAACAAAGGCAGGCTGCAGGGAGGGGAAAGGGGGCTAAGGAGGTGATCAGCTAAGATTGACTTTTCTTTGAATAATCAGGTCTGATTTTTAAGAAGTAGGTCTGCACTAGTCTATGTTCCCTAAGGATATTATTCTGGTGTACACTGAAGCAGTGTACATATAAATGGGGCATATAAATGCATATAAATTTCATAAGCAAAGTAAAGGAGTTGGGCCTTTGGAGACCTTCTGAGCTCAGCAGAAATGGTAGGAAAAAATGTTGCAGCCATTTTACAGGTGAAGTGCCAAATCTTAGACTGAGAGTTAGCTGGGAAGCAAGTTTTCCTAGGCCTCAATTTTAGCATCTAAATTTGAGTTACACATTTTCCTTTTCCTACAGTAGGATAACCACAGCTCTAGTCTCCAACTAATCTGAGAATTTTCAACAACTGTATCTTCATGAAAACCTGAAAATGTAGTATCTGCAGTTTGCTGGCTTGATTTTTCAGCCTGCACTGCATTCAGCAGTTCTCTGGCATTTGTGGGATTACTGGCTGCTCGGCATTATGTCAACCTTCTCCTTTACGTTTCTGAAGTGTGAATTTAAGGATCTGGGTTTTAGACACAAATTTTTGCTTTGAAAAATTTTGGTCAGCAACTGTATGGACCCAAAAAAAAAAAAAAAAGTCCTGACAGGATCTCTCCTTCTGTGTTTAAACCCTGGCAAGTTTTTAATTTCTCTTTCCTTCCCCCCCCACCCCAGGGAAAAGATTCACCTAAGCTACAAAGCACTAGAAAACTGTCAGATCAGATGCTTGATATGTATAATTAATGATGTAGAACAAAGCGATAAACCCTGCCCTGAAAATCCTAAATCTTTTCTTTTTTGAAGTTGCCTCCTGCTTTCACCCTTCCAGTTCCCACAGGACCGTGTAATATTTAGATGAAATCAGCTACTTCAGGGCAAGAAAACAATGCCAGTGTTTCAGGTTTCATCTGAACAGGAATGTTTTGGAGCCTGTGAAAGACACTCTGCTGGGCCATGGCTCTCCTTTGGCCCTCATGTTCACTTTCCTGTTTCCAAAACCTGAAAGCCATATTAGAACCCTTCATGTTTAGTTAACAAGGTAATACTGAGAATCAGGATATAGACTTTGCAGAATTGGTGATTATATTGATTTAGGTTTTTTTTTTTTTTTTTTTTTTTAGCAAATCTTAGTTGTTTTGGAAATCTTTGTTCACCAAATTCCTTTGGTAGGCAAAATGAAGACTTTTTGATTCTTCTGGAGAGCTAGAAAAGATCCCAGTTTGAGGGTCAGATGGCACATAATCAGCTTCTCCAACTGTAGGCAAAAGTACCACTGGAACTTTTTTCTTTTTTGGCTTCCTGCTGTTCTTAGCAGCTTACAATAAAATATAGTAAATAAAGGGGAAATCACACATAAAAAAAATTATCACAAAGAAACCTAAAGAATAATATCCATCAGAATAATGACTTGAAAATTGCCACTCAAGGAGCCGAGGTACCAAGCGCCATATGGGGAATCTTAAACTTGAAATGGTCTCTATGTGCGTGATAGTTTCATTCATACAACCCAGGGTGCAATCGTGAAGATTCAAATGGAGAAGGAAAGACACAGGTTAAGGCCTGAGAAAGGAAGAAACATCCAACCTGTGGGTTGAAATTCAGTAAAAAGTGCTTCATGTAGACCACTAAAGCCTATTAAGCCTTTGATAGTTATACTATGCAGAATGCTGGAGGCTGAAGGCATTTCTGGAGGTCACCTTCTCCAACCCCCTCTCAAGCTGGCCACCTCCAGATGGCTTTTGAGTATCTCCAAGGGTGGAGACTCAACAGCACCACAATGAAAATTTCTGAGCCGGGTATAAATCACCTGCTGAAGCAATACTGGCCTTCTGCTGACATGGGAGCTGCCTTTGGAATCTGGTTAGTAATGATGGAGGGCATGGCCTGAGCACAGCTCTCTGGCACAGAAATTCAGCTGTGCCTTTGGGTGTTCAGGTTCAGTTTGAATTGACTTTTAAGACGTGCCAGGTAGGAACTGTTTAGAGGAATAAAATAAAGAAATCACAGCGATGCTCTTGATCTCCCTCAGGCAACAGAACATCTTGACTTGCATCTCTTAGGGAAAGCTGGAAAGTTTAAGAACTAAATTTTCAAATGAATAGTTTGACTTTTTCTTTTGGCATGGATACCAATATATGCATTCCGTGTATGCCAAGTGTTCTGCGTGTCAAAATATCACCAGTAATCTTGGGAAAGAGCAGGCCTTTTCAGAGAAGGACTCCAGGGAGTCAGCTGTCGTTTGAAAGTTCTCTGCATTTCAGCGGTGCTGGAGATGATATGGAAGGCCAGTGATGGCAGAGGCAATGGGTGTCTGGACCACAGGGCTCAGACTCCTGGAAGAAGCACCACCATCCATTCTGTGACGTGTGACTGGCAACGTTCCTGACCTCGCGGAAGATCTGAAGGGAGTTTTGTAAAGCACATGGGGTTGGCACTGCTTCTGCTCTGGCATGACCTGATTGCATGGTCAAGGCTGACTCCTGGTGAAGTGGCAAACAGCTGTTGAACGGTGTTTGATGCTGTTTAGTATTTGCTGAATTTGTTGTTTAGTGTTTCAGTTGGTACTGGAGGTACAAAGTGGGGTGTGTGAGGAACATTTCCTGATGTGTTGTGCAAGGACAGCGGAGAAGTCAAGGAAAGTTCATTCTACTCTTAAAATCTCAGTTTGTGCACTGTTCTTTTGAAATCCAGGCAGGTTTCGCTGACCTGCTGTGTGTAATCTCAGTATCTACTCTGTCATTAAAGCACTGATTTGTTCTTTCTTCTGTACTGAAAATTACGCTGTTCCATGAAAACTGCCATCACTTCTGGAGAAGACTATATCTGGTCTTCTATATCTATATCTAGAAGACTATATCTAGTCTTCTGCATCTTTATAAGTGGGCATTAATGGCATAAAATGACTTGAGTGTAAAACAAACAGGAGTGCTTGAAACAAACATCTACTTTCACAGACGGTTACCAGAGCTGGGGTACCGAGAGCCTGCATTTATTGGTGTGACTGAGCAGACATTTTTCACCTGGTTTTCGGGGGCAAATGGGCAATAGAGTTTTATTTCTGCCAGAATGTAGGTTATTAATTTATGGAAAGTAAAGGCTGAGTGAGAACTGGAAAAAACCACTTTTTTAATGGCTGTAATTCAGTCATCTAAAAATAATACTTCCAGGTTCTTTCTATAGCCTATTGCCTGTGTGTTTTCTTTTTAAGTTCTTTCTTGAATGAGCTAGTAATTTTTTCTGTGTTTGATACAGCTACATTTTCACTGTAATTCTCTACATGAAAAAGTAGTTAGAAACATCTGCTCCAAGTTTATTTTTTATTTAACTAACAATTACATTCCTTTTTTTTCCTCTTTTTTTTGCAGTGCACATAGCAACTTGAGTTGACCTCATTTATCCTATTCAAAAATGTAAGTACTTTAATTGCACCACTGCCTCCCTCCTCAGATAATTTTAAGATGATGGAATTTCAATTTGTGTAGTCTCTGCTCGTATTGTACATATTTTCAATCTGAAGTTCCAGCTTATTACCATCTGTGGCACTTCACAGTGCTACAAGATACTATTTAGACAGCCAGGTTGTGAGGACAGAACTCAGCAGACAGATTCCAATTTCCTTACCCTTAGAAACAGGGCTCCAGGTACCAGGGAGACCTATTCCTCCTCATTCTTTAGGTCCTTTGTAATTGGTACTTCATCTTTACTTCAGACACCAGTAGAGCAGATGAGGAGAGTAATTGCAAACTCTTTTCATGCAGGGCTTGTCTTCTCTCCTTGATGTCACCAGTTTGTATCATACACCAGTTCATGGCCGGAATTGGACAATGTGCAAGACAACAATTATTCCACTGAAATACAGTAAAATTCTTGGCTTGGTGGAGAGTGGATCTGTAGGCACCCTTGATAAGCTGTTTCTTGCAATATAATCTCACACTTCAGTCTTTGAGAGCAGCTTGCTTTGTTGCACATCAGTCAGAATATTTTGTGTGCAAATGACCTTTTTGCTTAAACAAGGAAAATGGATTTGTATACATTTGCTTCAGATTGAACTGATTTATTTTTTGGTTCAGTGTTTGAACTGGCCTGGTGGTATTGAGGACAAAATATTAAGCAGTGTAGTAAAAAAGGTTACCCTGAAGTTCCAGTGTATGCCTAATAGACACAGATTGGTATCAAACCCTGACTGGACACTTTCCTAGTGATTTTATGAGCCACTAATTCTCTGTGCTGTGGGCATATATGGGTTTCCCAAAGTGTGAGGGTCTGTCTTGGTTCCTTGTCCTGTGTTTTTAGGTGCACAGTGAAATTAGAGATCTAACAAAAGAGCAGGAGAATGTGTTTTTGAATATCAGAAAACACAGTCTCAGTAGCAAGTCCTTATGGCACTATTTATTTATGCATGGTTAAGGTCTGCAGCCTCTATCTGTTATGTGGTGATTGCCTGTAGGGGAAAAAAAATATGTATTTATCCATAATGAAGTAGTGCACAGTTCGTGCAAGCAGATATGCTGGAAATTAAACCAGGAAAGAAAGTATTTCTTGATGCTGTTCTCAGCGGTGTGCTGGGAATATATAGGGTTTCCTAAATTATTCCTGTGCATCTCCAGTAGGTACATTATTAGATGTTTCCTGTGAAACCTCCCTGGCTATGCAAAAACCCCGGACGGGTCATTACAAATGCAGCGCCAGTGAACTTTTGTGTGATAACAGCACAGTTTTATGTTGCGTTATTTTCAATTTATTTTCTGGATAAATAATATAGAAAGCATTGTTTTCTTTAATATCACTTTTTTTTTTTCAGCTTCCTCTTTCAGATGAACAACAAAGCCAGTAACCAAAATAAATAAAAATCCGCTTTTCTTGTGAGCTCTAATTAGTTACTGTACAATACCATCAGCAGATCTTGGGAGGAGGAAAGTAGATGATACATTTTCCTGAAGAATATTTATTTTATCAGACTGATTGTTTTTCATTTAAGTCAAGTAAGTTTCAAAAAATGTTTAATTTCTATTCTTTTGCCCAGTATTGATTTAAGAAAAGAAAGCTTTGTTACAAAACAAATGCAAATGTCTGGGGGAAAAAGTATCCTAATATGCTGCCAAATGGCTAAAATGCATTATCCAGTGATAAATGCAGAGATTTTTTTATCTTTTCCTCACCCCCACCCCCTCATCACAATTAATTACAGCAAAGCAGGTTTTGTGATGTGAACAAACATCACTGACAACTGAGTGCAGGTAAAATCTTTTTTTCCTGAACTTAATTTCTGTCCTACTTTCATTGTTTTTTTCCATTGCAATATAAAATTAGAATAAAACAGTTACAAAAACACACATGACTGCCTATAGCTCTCTAGCTCCTCTCAGAACACCACCACGGGACATCAGAAGGACAAAATGAAATATTTTTAGACGTGGTATTTCTGTATCCTACTAGAATACAATGAAAATATGAATTCTCATGAAGATTATTCATAGTTTATGTGTGAATGTGCTCATGTGCATGTTATCCCTTTCCCCAATATGATGGAGAAAACCAGAACAATTAATTTAGTTAGCCTTTTTTTTTTTTTTTTTTTACATAGAATCATAGAGAGGTTTGGGTTGAAAGGGATCCTAAAGATCATCTGCTTCCAACCCCACTGCCATGAATAGAGAAATGTTCTTTACATTAATAGTGGCAGTCAAAAATTACCCACTTAACCATAGCCAGGCCTAACACTAAGTGGTAAGCCAAAGAATTTATCATAGATCTGTAAAGAGCTACGAAAAAGCAGACATTAAACCTGGAAGTCTGAGGAAATGTTTGCTTTTGCACTTTTGCTACACACAATAATCCCAGCATCTTTCAGTGGCTATTCAGCCATTTCCTTCATCAGCAACAGTGCTACTTTCTGTGTGTTTGGAATTTTCCCAAAATACCTTGCAGTTCAACATTTATAGATAGAATAAGCTGAAAGGTTTTCCCCCTCCCATCTCCTAGCATGGGATGAAGAAGAAAGTGGAAAACAGGAAGGAAAAAATGGAATAAATCCAGCTTCCACAGGTATATAATATCAGTCACCAGAAGCTATCATTATGTATAAAAGTAAGATAAGGATTTGTTCTGTTTCTCCTGTAATGCTTTAAGTTTGCACAGCTGGGAAGAAGGGTTTTTAATCCTGAAACACAAGATTTGTATCAACAGTTCCGGGTAACTATGTCCTTTGAGATCCTGACTGCCTGAAGCTCTTGATCTCACAAGTCTACATGAAAAACTCCAGGTGTGATAATCCAGATTTAGTTAACGTTCTGTAGAACTGATAGCAGTCTGAACTCCATTCTTCCTTTGCAGAGCACAGCTGTGCTGTCAGTTATTCCTGATTTAGGTGCTTTGTTAATATACAGAAGCTCTTACAAATGTCTCCTCTCTGCTGCCAGAGCTGGGTGCACTGGCCGTGACTGGGATTTGCAGGAGCCTTTCCCACACACCAGGGCGTGTTCAGCCCCCTCCTGCAGTTGGACTATCCCTGCCTGAGGAAATGTTTCATCCTGCAGGTGCTGAGAGCTCTGCCCAACCCTGTCAGTGTTCCACACGCACGGATCATCAACATAACAGCACGTGCAATCCGCTGGACATTTTCCAACAACCCTTCTCTTCCCTTTGCTTTCGTGTCCACCGAGGGTCTCTCTGCTGTCTGGATGGGCTGTTGGGCAATGAGATGATGCTGGTTCATCAGGTCTGTGATGAGAGTGACCGGCTCTGATCTTTCCAAAGGATGGCCATCCTTAATTCCAGCTGAGCCTGTGGGTGCTGCAGAGCATCAGACCCCACGTGAGCTCAGGAGATAAAGCAAAGAGATGTCTATTTGTGCCTTTCACGTCATCAGTATTTGCATGGATTCTGTGACTCAGTTCACTGCAGACTTTCCTACCTTTTTTTCTTTTTTTGTCACCTTAAAAACAGCCTTTTTAGAAAAGCAGACCTTTTCTTTAGAAAACAACCGTGCCATTTTTTTTTGCACAGCCTTCACTGGAGCAGACGTGAAAATGTTCATAAGCTCAGTGAAAAGCTACTTTAAAATCAGTCCTGGTTCACAGATGCTATAAACATCTATTTTCATCGGTTAAAAAACATGGTTGCTTTTACTAAAAGCAGTGTCTGGGATGATTTTGTTTTGATTGTTCAACACTGTTGGTGTTGAAAATAGATGTGTCAGCATTTGAAAGATGGTCCTCAGGCACTGAGATTTTTTTAATAGCAAGCAAAATTCTCATTAAAGGGCAATTTTAAAAAGCGATAACATTCATTTTTTTGGGCTGTTGAGCATATAGAGTGTTTATATTTCCAGCAAAGAATGAATTAATGGAAAATAAATTTCTGTCATGCACTAGTGCCGCAGCATTGCAGCATAATGTACGTGAGGCTGATTGCAAGTCAGCCCTTCAACAGGATTATACATGATCAAAGCTTCTGGAGTGAGAACTATGTAACTTAAATGATTGAAAACAATTTTAATGTTTGTCTTCTCTCTTTTTCTTTCAAATTGAAGCTTGTTTCTTGTTAATGATGTGTTAAACTAAAAACCCCACAGCTCTCAGTCTCTCTATCTCCCTAATTACAGGCAGACGTGTTTGGTGTCACATCCCTTCAACACGCAGACAGCTCGGGTTCTTTGCCTTGGGTGCCTCTTGCTGGCAGGACTGACTGCATTGGCCTGAAAGTATCTGCTTCTTCTGATGTCCAGGTAACAGGTCAGTGCCAGGTCCCAGCAAGGCAAGACGCTGTTCTTTGAGGGAAAGTCCCAGCAGAGAGGACAGGGCTTCCTACACCCTACAGGAGGCTGTGTGTCCACCAAGGAGGGCTGAACTCATTCACAGGGACCTGACTTTCCACGCTCACCTTCCTCAGTACCCTGACTTTTCTGAGAGAGTGATAATTCACTCTGGAAGGCCTGATGCCTGAAGCAGCTATCCATCACTATCAGCACAACTTAAACCATCAAACAACTCCCACAGGACTCTGTCAGATGTTAGTTTAGTGATTTTAAGTCACTAAAATATCTTGTGAATTTTTAGGTCCATTGGCACAATGCCATAGGCTAACAAAAATCTATACTTTTGAAAAAAACCACTATTGATAATGAGATAATACTGAACCTCTTATTTATTATTTATCACTATCCAGAAATGACTCAGGAAATCAGGAGGAGATTGATTTTCAAACAACTCATGAGAACAAGCTCTGTCTTGGTAGGACTTGGTAGGACTTTGCTATCACTGTAGCAATGTTCAGTATCCAGTAAATAGGAAGGCCTGGTACACCATGGGGGTTAAAGCTCTAAACAAGCCCAGTGGGCTTCACAGGGCTCAGAATATGGTCATTTCTGTGACTACTTTCATAATCACATTGACTAATTTTTTTCAGCAAACTGAAACTGCCGGCAAAGCAGAAATTTCGGCTCTTCTGTGCAGTCCTCGTCTCAACCTGTTATCACAGAGGGGCTTTCAGGCTGTACAGGTGCCATGAGGAGCTCTCCCTGCCCGGCCACTGGTGGGAGAAGGGTCACTGCCCCACTGTGCCCTGCCCACAGAGCCTGCCCACGGGGCACTGAGCTGGTGCCAGTGCTCTGCCTTTCTTCAATGTCACTGATTTTGCACATATGCTTCCGAGCAGTTGGCAGATGTGGCCGAGGCAAGACACAGAGTCAAACTCGGCAGGAAAGCTGCTTGCAAGTGGTATTAATAGAAAAAACACACGCAGGAGCAATTTGAGTAACTTCGCTTCCTCGAGGAGACAAAAGTGAGGCCAAGAAAAAATTCAAAAGTAAAATAAATGGTATTGTTAGAGATGTGGAAAAAATAGCATCGCCCTCCTTGCTGCCTGCCCCCTCCAATGTCATCCACTGTTTTGAAGGAGACAAATACAAAGCATTTTTTTCTGAAATATCCATTTTTCTGCCTTTTTTTTTTTTTTTTAAATTTCCTCATAAGAAAATTAATTTTTGTTAGTGGCTCCCCTAGGCTTCCTAAAAAGAAATTTATGCTGTACCCAAAATTCTAAAGAACAAAAGGACTATTCTGTTTCAGCAGTTATCGATTATCTCAAAAATCTGTCATCACCAGAATAGGGAGACGAGTTCTCCAAACTGACGCTTCAAATGAGTTGGCTGATGTCGAATAACACACAATTTGCACAGCACCTAACTCATCCATTTTCCCAGCTTGTAGAGCTCTTTCCTTGGAAATCATTGTGGAAAATGTTGGAGTAGCGACTTCTGGCATTGATATGTTGCAAAATATCTCCACAGCACTTTGAAACTCTGAGAAGCTTCCAGCCGATTGCTCGGCGTGTTAGACACAGTAGACTTTGTCGTATTCTCCTGTTTTTGCAGTGAGAATGCCCTCGAGGCAACTTACAACATCTGCTGTGAACACATGAAATCCTTCCCTCTCTGCAGCCAGCTTGCCACTGGGTTTGATGGAGCCAAAATCTCAGGCTCGTTCGGCGGAGCCAGGCACAGCTTGGACAGAAAACAGCGTGAAAATCTGCGAGTCAACCAACTTCCAGCACGAGAAAAAGGGGAGAATCAAACACAGAAATTAATGCTGCAATTAAAAAAAAAAAAAAAAAAAAGGCATATAATTTTTTGTTGCCTTTGTTGCAACAGCACTGCAGAACTTCCAGCTAATCAAGCCATAACTCCCAAGCCCCTCCTTTTGGATGTTCTTGTGCTCCAACACCTTTTACCTTCCCTCTGGCCAGACTGGCCAACAGTGTTCTTGGTCATAAAAACTAGGACAGGGAAAATCACTTGGTACCTTCTTAGACGTTCTCTGGCAAGGAAACTGGAAGAGTCTTGGATGGTTACAGGTCTTTATGGCAAGAAAGGATGTTGCAACAGTCACACTGCAAGCACTGTAGGGAATGGGAAAAAGCAGCACTGGAAATCCCTTACGGATGTTCCATCGAGACACAGTCACAATTATTTTAGGAGGGAAAACATCACACATTAAATACATTTATTATTTGGTTCTTTTTCTGCTTTGGACAGATTGTGACAATCTTACATAAACACTGGCACTAAGTATTAGGGCAGTCTGATGTTTGACCCAGATCTGATTATTTTGCAGCACACACAACTGCGCTTCCAGTGGAAGATTCCCCCACGACAAGTTTCTAAACAGGGTAAATAAAGCCATCTGTTGTAGAAGCAGGATTTTTAAATTATATGCCCTGTTAACCACTGTTTTGCACACTGAGCTATTCATGTCTAAAGAAACAACCTTATGCCTTTCTAAAAGGAGTTCTGCTCTCTGATTTACACATTTTATGGGCCAGATATCAGATGTCTAAAATAACTTTTATTCTGCTTACATTTACTTCTGTGAGACTGATTTCAATCTTTCCCCTTTCCATTGACCCCTTGTGTTTCTTTCTGCTTCCTGCTTTCTCTTAATCTCTATTACATGTATGATTGCAATAAATATTTTAGGAAAAGTTTGGTCAATGAAAGTAATATTTGAAAATATAAGTGTGTTATATATTTTATATCTAGCAAAGTAATTAAAATATCTCATAGGAAAGAGATCTCATCAACCTCTAGTCCAATGCAAGCATCTCCTTCTCTGCAAGACAAGTAAAGGAAGTAAGGGAGAATTTCCATGGTAGGAATGTATTCCAATAAATGTTTAAGAGAAACAATTTCCCCCTGTGGAAAACCGCATTTGAAGACTCCATTTGTTTATCTAAATTGTTGTTCAGTCAGCAAATAATTAAATTGCTATTTCCAGGGCTGTTTTTGCGCTCTCCCCAGTCACGAAGAGAGCTAGTTCTGGCTGCAAAAGAGGAGAGTGAACAGAAATTTGTGCTGCAAATTAGCACACGGAAGGAACACTGTGTGCTGTTTCACCAACCACTTCATCACTTTGGGGGTCCATATGGGTTTCTTTAACAGGGTTTAATATTTGTCCTCTTTTTGTTCTTGTGGGAATGGATACAACGGACTAGGCACTGATGTCTCCTTAAGGAAATTGGGGCACCATCTGTATTCATGCCAGCTAAGAGTCTGCTCAGCTGGCTCCCTTTTTGCCTAAGCCTTAGAAAAGTTCAAATATATATATATATATATATAGTTCAACTTTTAAATTCTCTTGCACAAGTTGATATATATTTCTTTATTTCTGCAGTGGTGTCTTGTCCTGTTAGTCTACTGGAAGGCTTCGTGGCCCTTGGTGATTTTGGGATTACGAACTCCACCAGTGATGGGATTTGCAAACATGAGGTTGAATCTACAGAACAGTAGTGTGGATAACACTTACATACATTAATATACATAATTAATGTACCTAACATAGATACATTTAAATGATAGATGTAATTTGCTGATGTAGAAGGCAGGACTGGATCTTGCACTCCAAACTAATTTTCAGCAGTTTCTTATGACTAAAACATTTGCTTTGATGACTTTAAAAAAATCAAGTACCTGTAGAGGAGACATAGAGATATCTTGTCTATCTTTTAGTAAAGCACAGGGTTCCATGTTCACCCTGATACCTCTGTGCTAGAGGTGTCAAACACCCTAATTGGACAGCCTAATTTATGTGTTTTTTTAATAGTCAAAATTGTCATAACACACATCTTCCAGCACTGCTTTGAAGGGAAAGATATGAACACTTCACAGTTAAGTGGAGCTTGTTTGAATGGTCAATTGCCCTTATTGTAAAGGATTTATGCTGTCTGCACTTACTGTATTTAAATCTTCACTTTATGTTATATCTATTAATGGAAATACAATTTTTTGTAGAAAATTAGAAACTGGAAAAGCTAAGAAGAAATGGATTGGAAGAGACCCGAGGTGAGATTTAGATATTTCTGATCCTCAGAAATGGCAAAATCCAACACTTTTCATTTGAACCAAGTTCAAACATTTCTAATTTTCTTTACCAAGTGAATTAAAAAGGCACAAATAGGTATCTTTAGAGTGGATTGTTTTCTGTTGTAGGTACCCTCACTGACTTCCATCTTAACTTGATCCATGATTTCAGGGTGAAATGCACATTTTTTGTTACAGTCCAAAAAATTTCTTTCAAAAATTTGTTTCAAAAATCAGTTTCAAGTTGATAATTTTTTAGAAAGGGGAGATTAAAAAACTCAATATCTGGACAGAAAATAGAACCAAATGTTCTGATTTAATTAGCTGTAAGAAGTGGTTGCAATGCAAATATAGAAAAATGGCTAAATTATTTGCCATCTTAATTTTTTATTCCTTCTCATATTCTTTTTCTCTGTAACTTTGCTTTCACTTTTTTTTTTTTTTTTTTTTGCTAAAGGCTCAATCCTACTGCTTTTAAAATAGTAAATTACCCCTAAGATCAAATGAGATCCTGAGGGAAGTATTTAAAAAGAAGAGAAATTAGGATATTTATCCTTCTTGCCATTTGGCAACTAGCTCAAATATCTAAATTAGAAGAATATTTCCTCTCAGTTTAGCATATGACTAATAGGGAAAGGACATTGCAGCAGGCAATCCACAATGTTAAGCAAAGTTCTTGCTATGAAGAGTCTTTTCCTCTGGACACCATAAATAATGTAGAGAGGTTAAGGTAAGAATTTAAATTTAGGTGGTATTAAGAGGCTCTAAAGAGTATTGACAGGCTTCTGAGCAAATAATATCAGCTGATACCAACCAGTACAGCAATATGACATATGGACATTTAGTCTAGGACTCCTAAGAATTTATTATGC